TGGTTTCTAGCTGTAGTAGTAGGGGCTGCATCTCTAATTCTGCAACAAGGAGAAGGCCTTCTTCATTACCCTTTCAGAAGAACAAAATTAAATTGTGTCTCTTCGAATGATCCAGTTCAAAGCTGGATTATGTCTCTTCAAATGATCCAGTTCAAAGCAAAAAAAAATTTTGTTTTTGAAATAAGAAAACTGGAAAATCCAGTTACTTTACAATTATCAAAAAGCAGGATATAGCTGGATGTAGTGGCTCACATCTATAATCCCAGTTACTTGAGAGGCTGATGTGGGAGGATCACTTGAGGTCAGGAATCGGAGACTAGCCTCAGCAGAGTAACAAGACCCTGTCTCTAAAATACTTGTTTAAATTAGCCGCCACGGTGTGCCCGTGGTGCCTGTAGTCCTAACTATGCAGGAGGCTGAGGTGAAAGGTTCGCTTGAGCCCAGAAAAGAATGGAATTTGGTCATTTCTGGCTGTCACAGCCACCATGACCTCTTCTTTTTGGTCACATTCTCCTGGATGCTGGTAGAGGGACTACTGCTTTGGAGCAAGGTGGTGGCCATGAGCATGAGCCCAGCCTAAGCATGCAACCCTACTATGCCACAGGCTGGGGTACTTGGAAAATGATTGAAGTGGATCTTGTACCATTTGACTTATCAGTATTGTGGAACTTTTTGCACCTACCCCACCAAAGAAATACTAATTTTCAAAAATAATGTATGTCATAAGTTTCCAGTTCCAATTGTTCTCACTGAAGCTTATTTCAGAAAGCTGTCCCTGGTATTAACCACCTCATCTGAATGACTAACTCCTTGTCACCTGGTTATCCCTCTCTATGTCAGGCATCAGACCTCTGACTGGCTTAAAAGGAGGAAAAGCACTAGACTTTGGTAATTTCTGGAGACAGTATCAGAGTGCAGTGAAAAAAAAATAGTTTTTGGAGTCAGGTAGATCTGGATCTAAACTGCAGCTAGCAGAATGTGGAGTCTGAGGCTGCAGGAAGCCATGACGCTGTTGCTGTACTCCAGCCTGGGCAACAGAGCAAGACCCTATATCTAAACATTAAAATAGAAAAAAATACAAAAAATAGCAAGAAATATTTCTGCTGTGATGAAATCCCCCAATTCCTCTGCTTTTTTTTTTTTATAGCCAAATTAATCTGAGCTGTCCTTTCTTACTTTTCTACTTAGACTTGCTCTCTGACTTTTCAGTGGCAGATTTATTGACAAACGTAGCAATATAAATATAAAGAAAGCTACACTGAAGTATAATCTCTACATAAAAAACTAAGAAGTTACATTTTTAAAAAACTTCCATTCCATATTATCTTCGTATGTAATAAGGCATACCCATGAGATATGACATCATTCATTTATGGGTTTACTTTGCCAAAAACTTTTACTTATTCCTGAAAGCATTTTAGTTACAGTTGAGTATACAAGTGTCAAATATTTCTCACAAATATTATTTTTCCAGTATGTTTCTATAGTTTCAAGTAGGAGAAATAATATCAGCTTCCCTTTCAGAGCAAAAGAAAAGCTCATTCTAAAAAATTTTACAAATATTGAGAATTGTACAAGTGCTACTTTACAAAGATGAAAAGTGAGTTTAGAAACGAAGTCTAAAACTAAAGTTTAGACTTTAATTTTGAACGCCATTTCTCTTTTTGTTTATAGTCTTTCTCTTTTTCCTTGGGTAGGAAGTTGAATTTCAAGATAGAGGAGCTCTATTTAAAATGTCTAATTTAAAAGTCCTATTTGTGTCTGCTTTTAAAAAAATTTTTATTACAAATTTCAGTCACCTTTAAAAAAGCTTGAAAAAAGTTTTGAGACAGAGTCTCACTGTATTACCTAGAATGGAGTGCAGGGCCGCTATCTTGGCTTCCTGCAACCTCCACCTCCCAGACTCCCACCTCAGCCATCCTCCCAGGCTCCCACCTCTGAGCCATCCTCAGCCTCCAGAGTAGCTGGGACTATAGGCATACACCACCATGCCTGGTTAATTTTTATATTTTTTGTAGAGATGGGGTTTCACCATGTTGCTCAACCTGGTCACAAACTCCTGAGCTCACGTGATGTGCCCATCTTGGCCTCCCAAAGTGCTGGGATTGTAGGAGCGAGCCACCGTGCCTGGCTGAAAGTTTGATAATTTAGTTGTATTAATTATTTTTATGTTGTCATGGGGAAAATTTTAAAAGCCATTTGAAAGGAGGAAATAGTTCATAAATAACTGGTTTCTTTAGAGATGAGACAAAAATCTAAAGGAAATGCATGTATAGGAATCTCACTTCGTTAATGGCAATTTAATTCTGTTAAGTATATGGTTCGTGAAAATAGAGTGTTCACAGAATTATGCAGTAAGAAGATGAGTGGGCACCTCCTCCTGACTTTGTTGCAGTATGAAGGTCTCTGCAAGAGGAGTCAAGATTGTAAGGCTCAAGTCTCAGTGCCACCTATCCTCCGTGTATGTTCATAAGAAAGTCACTTGGCTTCTGTCAGTTTCTCATTAGAGAAATGGAAGTAGTGATGCCTTTCTTATAAGGTTATTAATAGGAATAAGTAACATGACATAGATGAAAGGCTTTGTCAACCAGAAACTGCTCTACAAAAATAAATCATCCAATTTATCCAGAGCTCAAAAATTTCAATAGGAGATTCTACCAAAAATAGTTAAATGTGCATTTTGTGTTCTTATTCTTGCTTCATTCTCACCTGCTTATGTGCTAAAATCTTCATTAGGTAATAAACTCCTTAAAGCCATAGTGAGTGAACATATTATACTGTTTTGTGTGTTGTTTTCTGAACTGTACTTTAATGGACATGCAAAGGACTTTGCTGACATTCTACCCCGATCCTCAGTTCTTATACTAAGCAAATAATCACTACTGCCAAAAGTCTCCTCTCACCTTTCTGTATTTAACCTCTTCCACTGCAACTAATGCCTATTTCCAGTCTATCCTTGAAGTTCATGGAGAACTGGCAGGACAACATTCGCTTAACAAAAGCCTTTATTACTGTTACTAAAGAATCTTCAGCTGCAAGACAGAATATTTGGTTCTCAATCCAAATCTGTTTCTCTTGTAGTCTAAAACAACTGGAATTACCTACATCCCTAGCTCCAGGAAGAAAGTACCGCTGGGTTACCATAGATTCTTAGAGTCACACAGTTTCATCCCCAGCCCACTGGGTCTTCCCTACTCCTCCTTTCTCTCAGTTCCAAAGGAAAACCCATCACTGCCTGGTCAAGGGAGAGGAGTAAAGTACAATAAAAAGTGCTAGAGGACTTATGAACAGACAGGAAAAGAAGGAAAGGGATGAAGACACCAGCATCAAAGGAAAGTGAAACTGGAGTGTTCTTAGGGCACCGATATTCCTTAGAAGACCAATGAGATGCTCTTATCTATCCTGATGCTTGAACAGAAGTCCTATTTAACAGGCAAGTTGGCATTGGTTCATCATAAAAGACTTTTAAAAGCTGAAGGAATGGTGAAGAAGGGATGACTATCTCTCAGCCTCCCTCCTTCTATCATGTAGATATGCCTACCCGATTTGCCCTCGGCTCAAAGTAATTCTATATTCTTTCCATGAGGTTTTTAACAAGAGAGCCTAGTTCAGCGCACCTTTTAAGTTTAAAGATGAGTATTTTTAGCCTGAGCCACCTCGCCCTGTCTTTACCGCTGTGGTGTGGTTTTCACTAAACCTCCTTAGGGGGCCTCCGGATAAACACGTGTGCCCGCATCCGGCTCCGGCGCGCCCTGCATTTCAGCACCGCCGCCTCTGGAGAGCGCTTTGCTGGCTGGCCAGGTCACCGCCTCCCACCCGCTATCTCACCCATCCCCAGCCCACCCGCTCTTCTCTACTCCTTGTTTCTCTCAGTTCCAAGAAAAAGCACCCCCAACTTCTAACTTCTCAATTCCTGCTTCTAAAGAGACCTCCGCGTTCCTCTTTCAGGGTCTAAAGGCTCAAGCCCCGCGCCTTGGAGTCCTACGAGCCCAGTGAAGCCGCGTGGTTTCCCACTGGTGGCGCAAGACCTCCAATAGGCATCGATCACCTTTCCCCTACCGTTGCTGGACCCCGAACCGGCCAGCCAGACGCCCCCGCTCGCTGTCTCTGGCTCCACGCCCCAGAGCTTCTAAGAAACAAATGCGTGATGATGAGTCCCCTCCCCCCAACACGCACACGCATATATTCGCACACACTCATTCGCACATTCATACACACACTAGACGCCGCAAGCCTTCCGGGTGCCATCGCCACCCTGGGCAGAGCCTCAGCCAACTCGGCCCCGATCCTTCGGCACCGGCTCACACAGGGCCTCCCGCAGCCGCCGCCCCGCCCCCTCCCCTTCCTAGGTAGCGGTTCCCTGCTGCCGAACCTAGGCGGACCAGGGCTCCCTCCCCATTCACTCAGCAGCCACCTCGAGCGCGCAATACACGGTCCACAATTCCCAAACACTCGTTCCCTGGGCCGCCCAGAACGAACAGCCAAACCCGAAATTAATCTTGAAGCCCCAGCCCCTGTCACTGGTGTGTTGGGCGCGAGTGTGTTTGCGAATCCGAGGCACATACACCATTTAACTCCTTCGAGCTTTCCGCCCATGCTAAACAAACAGCACGTTACCTTCAACCCCCTCCTCCCTTCTCCGCGCCCCAACCGCTGCTCCCATCCCCGCCTAGTAGCCGAACCACTGCACCGCCGCACTCCAGTTCTGGAATCTCCAACCCTGCCCAGCCCCAAATGACACTCGTCTCCAGTCCCCTCCCATCCCCCACCTCTGGCCCCCTGCGAGCCGGGTCTGGCCCCGGCAAGTAACGCCTCAGAAACGTAGTCTGCCTCCCCTCTCCTGAGTCCAAAATAAAGGGGGCCGACCTCCACCAGCAGGATCAGCCGGCGCACCCCTCCGAAGGGGCACACGCCTTCCCGTTTGATCGCCCTGGAAAACACAGGTGCCTGGGAAAGGAGAGGAGCGGAAGCGGCTTCCAGAGGTGGGCGGGAGGACTCACCAAACATCTGAATGTGCCCTTTGGTGATGGGATTGAAGCTGCCGCAGGCGAGCAAGATAACGTGGGTCTTGGTGGTCTCGGTCATGGTGCGAGTGGGTCCCTCACGCAGGTCTAGCGGTTGCCTCTCTTTTTGTGTCTCGTTGTGTCTGCAGAGGGAGAAAGGAAGGCGAGGCTCGTCGGTGGATGCTGTGGACTCCAAGGAGCCGCTCCAGACGCAAACCGCGTCACTCCCCGCCTCCCCTTAACGCTTGCAGCTCCGGCAAGATCCGAGGCTGCTTTTGTATTGCTCTGCTCTCTTCTCTCCTCCGTCCCTCTCTTTCATTCTAGCTTCTCTCGTCCTGGTGCCCCACCCCATCCTTTCTATCGCCCCCAGCCCACTTTACTCCATCACTCTCTTCCTTGGAGTTTATCCAGAAGGCAAGAGGTAGTACCCAAGCCCAGAACCAAGAGCTCACAGCATGGTGTGAGCTCTCTCTACCTCTTGCCTGCTCTTGATTCCGTTTTCCTCCTCACTCTAAAATTTTTCTGTCCCCTCTACTTTCTCTAACATCTCCGAGTTCAAAAATGTTTGATCTTAAGATTTTTTTTTCTTTCTCTCTTCCTTAAAATTTTAAGTGAGAAATGACCATTATTTATTTCAGTAGTATTCGTTTCGGCCTTTCCTTTTTCCCTTATCTGATGATTCCAAACTATTGAGCTGAGACCAACTCTTGATCTGATGGCTGTAGAGAGAGAGAGACGGCAGATCTGAACCCCTTTCCTGCTATAGTGGTCTTTTTTGTGGGTGAAGCAATACTATCAGTTTGAGAGAACATGAAGGGGGCAGAGTTACTAAAACTGTTTTAGAAAATGATGGGGATCCTACATAAGCTACCAAAGTTGAGACAAAGACTTACCATTCAACAAGTGTTTCTTGAGGGCTCACTATGTGTCACGTATTGTTATAAGCCCTGCCACTAAAGCAAAGTCACTGTCTCCATTTTACTGGAGGAAGATAGACCATAAATATTAGATGACAATTGTGCAATGCACAGCAAGTGAATGCAATTTATGCTCTGACAGAGCAGAGAGTGAGTGGAGAAGAGGAAACAAATCAGGTAGTCTGAGAAGGCCTCTCTGGGGAGGTGACATTTCAGTGAGACCTGAGTGACAGGAAGAGTTGCTAGTCTACATATTCAGAGACAGAGAAGGCCTTACTGTGCTCACAGAAATAAAAGGCTGGTGTGGCTGAAAAGCATGGGCAAGGGGAAAAATGATGGAACACTGGGCAGCAGGTGATCAGGGCCAGATCAAATGGGGCTTGTAGGCTACGGCAAGAGTTAGACACTTTTCTAAGTGGCATAATAACAAAAGGAAGCTTCCGAAGCTTTTAAGCAGGGGAATAATATGTAATTCACATTTTTATAAGATCACTCTGGCTGCTGGGTGGAAAGGGAGGGCAAATGGGAAGGCAAGAATAGCATTTAGGAAAATCTGGTCGCCTAGGCAAGTGGAGTTGTCCTGAGACTGGGGTTTATAGAGATGAGAGAAATGAGAAGTAGGTGGTCTCAGGATACATTTTATAGATTTTGAAATTTGGCTTAAACAATGAGTAGACTGAAATTGAGAATGGTTAAGGGAAGACAGATGTTCTATGCTTATGCAACAGAAAGAACCGATAATTCTTTGCAGATGGATTGGATATAGAGGATTTTTTTTTGAAACAGGGTCTCACTCTGTCACCCAGGTTGGAGTGCAGTGGTGTAATCTCAGCTCACCACAGCTTCAACCTCCCAGACTCTAGCACTCCTCCCACGTCAGCCTCCCAAGTAGCTGGGACTACAGTATGTGCCACCACGCCCAGCTAACTTTTTGTGGTTTTTGTAGAGATCAGGTGTCACTATATTCCCCAGGCTGGTCTTGAACTCCTGAGCTCAAACAATCCACCCACAGCAGCCTCCCAAAGTGTTGAGAATAAAGGCGTGAGCTACTGACCCAGCCAGAGCCAATAATTCTTAATTTAGAGATTAACAAGTACAAATATGTACCTATCCTGAGGTTTAGGTTTCTTGGATAAATTTCCACCCCGTATTAGTGAGTTGGTCATTGGTTTTTTCCTTATCCAAGAGCATGTAGTGGATGTGGAGTAAATAGTTGTTAAATTGTGATGAATAGCAAATCAACCCTAATATGCATAAAATTTCTAGTTTAAATAGAAGACTCCTAGGAACTGATGTATATTCATAATGAGGTTTGTATCTTCCCTAATATGATATGCAGATTAGTGGTATAAAAAGAGCAAGAGCTTGTAAAGGGAGGCTGACTTGGGTATGAAACTCTGACACTCACTAGCTAAGCAATTGACATAATTATAGTTAACCAATAAATATTTATTGAGTATCAGCCATGCACCAAGCACTCATTTAGGGGCTGTGAACAAAACAGAGTCCCTGCTTTAATACAGCTCACATTCCAGAGGAAGACAACAGGCCACAAACAAATGAATAAGCATAATGGTAAAAAGTACCACAAAGAAAAATAAAGCAGAATGTGAAGAAAAGAGAAAGAAAGAAAACTCTTTTTTATTTGCTGTGGTCAAGGATGGCCTCTCTGATAGGACAGTATTTGAACAGGAGCCTAAATGAAGTGAAGGCATGTGTCACTTGAATAGCTAGGGAAAAATATACCAGGCAGGACTGCTAGTATAAAGCAGTATAAAGATTGGAAGACTAACAGTGCTGGGGGTTTTTGACAAGCACACCAAGGTGACTGGAGAAAACAAAGAATGTGGAACACACTCAAAAACAAGTCCGAAAAGTAGGACAGATAATACAAGGCCTTGTAGGTCTTGACTAGGTCTCTGGTTTTTTTTTCACTGAGGAAGGATAGGAAGCAATCCAAGGGTTTTGAGTAGAGAAGTGACATGAGCTGGCTCAATGTTTGAAAAGTATGTTTGGCAAAAGATGTAGGTTTTTGTTTTTGTTTTTGTTTTCAGATGGAGTTTCATTCTTGTTGCCCAGGTTAGAGTGCAATGGCGCAATCTTCGCTTACCGCAACCTCTGCCTCCTGGGTTCAAGAAATTCTCCTGTCTCAGCCTCCTGAATAGCTGAGATTACAGACATGCGCCACCATGTCTGGTTAATTTTGTATTTTTAGTAGAGACAGGGTTTCTCCATGTTGGTCAGGCTGGTCTCGACTCTTGACCTCAGGTGATCCGCCCACCTCGGCCTCCCAAAATGCTGGGATTACAGCTGTGAGCCACTGGGCCCAGTCAGGAGATATAAATTTTGGAGTCTCCAGTACAGCTTATATTTATAGTCATGGGACTAGATGAGGATACCTAGGGAGAAACAGATATACAGAGTGAAAAGGAGGTCCTCAGGCTCAACCCTGAGGAACATCAAATTAATAATAGTAGCTAACATTCACTGGGTGTTACTAGAAACCCAAACACTATAAGATGTTTACAGATGTTAACTCATTTAACACTCACAATAACTCTGTGAGTTTCTATGATTTTATTCCATCTTAGAGATAAGCCTACAAGGGCACAGGGAAATTAAGTAACCGGTCTGGGTCAGACTGTTAGTATGTATGAAACCAGATTCAAACCCTGACAGTTTTAATTGAAAGCCCTACTCTTGATACAAGGCTACTCCCTTGTTTCACTGCTATGCTAAACTGACCACATTTGTAAAATGAGGATAACAATGCACAACAAGCTGCACAGATGTGAAGATTAGAGGTAAGGTATATAGGATACCTAGCATATAGTAGATGATCAATAAATGATAGCTAGTTCCTAAGTGAGAGAATAGGACTTCTTAGCAGAGATTGGAGAACAGACCGAGAGATACCTTAACAGGTGCTAAGGTCTGAATGTCTGTGTCCCCCAAAACTCATATGTTGAAACCTAATCCCCAGCTGATGGTATTAAGAGGTAGGGTGATATGGTTTGGATCTGTGTCCTCATCCAAATCTCATGTTGAACTGTAATACGATGTTGGAGGTGGTGCCTAATGGAGGTGACTGGGTCATGGTGGCAATTTCGCATGGTTTAACACCATTCCCCATGGAGCTGTTGTCTTGATAGTGAGTTCTAATGAGATCTAGTTGTTTAAAATTGCGTAGCACCTCTCTCCACACACTTCCTCCTGTTCCAGTCATGAAAGACCTGCCTGCTTCCCCCTTGCCTTCCACCATGAGTAAAACTTTCCCGAGGCCTCCCCAGAAGCCACTATGCTTTCTGTACAACCTGTAGAACCGTGAGCCAATCAAACCTCTTTTCCTTACAAATTACCTAGTCTCAGATATTTCTCTAAAGCAGAGCAGGAACATACTGATGCATAGGGCCTTTGGAAAGTGACTAGATCATCAGCTCAAAGCCCTCATAAATGGGAATTAAAAGAGGCTCAAGGGAGCTCATTTTTTCCTTCTACCATGTGAAGACACATCTATGAATCAGGCACCAAAACCTCACCAGACACCAAATCTGCTGGTGCCTTAATCTTGAACTTCCCAGCCTCCAGTGAGAAATAATTTCTGTTGGATATAGCTGTTCCTAAAGCTACATCTACCCATTAGATTTCACAATTAAATAAATAAATAAATTCCTTCTTTGGCTTAGTTCCAGTTGATATAATAAAGACTTAGCAATAGCCGGGCGCGGTGGCTCAAGCCTGTAATCCCAGCACTTTGGGAGGCCGAGGCGGGTGGATCACGAGGTCGAGAGATCGAGACCATCCTGGTCAACATGGTGAAACCCCGTCTCTACTAAAAATACAAAAAATTAGCTGGGCATGGTGGCACATGCCTGTAATCCCAGCTACTCAGGAGGCTGAGGCAGGAGAATTGCCTGAACCCAGGAGGCAGAGGTTGCGGTGAGCCGAGATCGCGCCATTGCACTCCAGCCTGGGAAACAAGAGCGAAACTCCGTCTCAAAAAAAAAAAAAAAAAAAAAAAAAAAAAAAAAAAAAAAAGAAAAAAAAAAAAGACTTAGCAATAAATTACTTGCCTAAAGCCACCTTAGCAAACCCTAATTTGAATAGGGTTACTGTTATTTATTTCTAAAATAGTCCTAAGTAATACAAACAAGTTAAAACATCTAGAAGTGTACAGTTACCAACCTTGAGCCACTTCAACTCCAGCAATAGAATGAATATGGGTATGAAAACTGAGACTAACAGATCTAACTGATGCAAATTTTTCTTATGCTTCCATTTCCACTGAAATTAATTTAGTTATTACTGGCAAGTGTACTTTATGGGTTTGCTATACAGATCAAATAAAACCATGTGTGGGCCGGGCACGGTGACTCATGCCTCTAATCCCAGCACTTTGGAAGGCTGAGGTGGGCGGATCACTTGAGACCAGGAGTTTGAGACCAGCCTGGCCAATATGGTGAAACTCTGTCTGTATTACAAATACAAAA